TGATGAGCATCTTTTCATATGTCTCTTGGCCATTTGTATGTCTTCTTTGGAGAAGTATCTATTCAGATAGATCCTTTGCCCATTTTTTAATTGGATTGTTTGGGGTTTTATGGTGTTGAGTTGTTAAGTTCTTGATAAATTTTGGATAATTTGGACTTCAACAATAAGAGGTGGAAAAGAGAGAAGATGATTTTAAATGGGGTTGATATTGCTAAACCTGAGGCTCTGCCATTGCTGCATAATTGGGATGAAAGTGTTAATGTGATGGGAAAGGATAGATGCCTGTGTCTGGGAGGGGAGGTCCCACTAAGGTGGGACAGGTGGATCTGCCGGGGTTGTTTAAGACCAGCTTTGGCTGACTTAGGCAAAGGGAGAACTTGGAAGCTTCCATAGGTAGTTTACAAAACTGAAGAATACACTTAGAACCAGGCCCTCCATTGCCTGGGGCATTGTTGTGTCTCCAAGTAATGGGAAGTACGGGCTGACTGTCAGGATCTCACAGGAGAATGAACCACCTCCAACCAGCCTTCAGGGTCACTTGACCCCTGGTTCACATACCCAGAGCGAGCCTGCTTTGCCTGACCTATAGTCAAGAGCCTCCTGACTCAGGGCACCTTGGCAGTGAGCAGAGATGATGTTCCCAGCAAGGGCAGCTGGTTGGGAGTGGGGAGGAAACCCTGTGTGGCAATGAAGTGTGGTGCTTGGAGTTCAGCATCAGGGCATGGAGAGCAGGCCCAGCAAGCTGAGTCAGGGACCAGCTTCCAACCTGCAGAGGGCGGGGTGACTGGCGGAAGCCAAGACACTGATGGACATCAAGGGCAAGATTTGAGACGTGGAGAACAATGACTCGGTTACTGGAACTGGGGTACAAGGGTTCCCCATTCTACCCTGGGTAGAATGTCAGTGGCACCCACTGTGTGAGAAAAGGTCAGAGAAACAACTTGTAAATTATTTGAGGTGAGAATTGTGGTAAAAAGCAGGGATGTAGAAAGCTCTGAAGAGCTTCATGTTTCTGCAGTTGGTCATCACAGGTGTGACCCTCAGTCAGGCCCTGAGTTGCCGGGACCCATCTCAGAGTGACTTATGCCTGGAACGCATGTACTGGTCCATGTAATTGAAAAGTCCATGGGGACTACTAGGGTATTAGTGTGAGAATTCAGGTGCTCAGAATATATTCTTTCTCTGCCTCTTGATCTGCTCTTCCCTGGGCTGGCTTCATCTTCAGGCATATCTGTGTGGCTGTGGAGGGATGAGACTGCCAACAATGCAGTTCCCAGTTCCTTCCAGCGGAAGGAGACCCTTCCCAGTCAGTAGTACCAGCCCAGGGGCCGGGCCTGGATCTCACTGAACCAAACAGAACAGCAGGAGGATGGAAGTGCCCGTGGGCAAGTCCTATACGTGAGCCCACCACGGACCCCAGCCTCTAACCACGATGGCCTGGAATGGTGGTTCCCAAAGGAATGCGATGGGAATGGATGCTAAGTCACCAGGAACCATGGAGAGCCAGTGTGACCAAGTTCAAGTTTGTGAATCCTCCCAGAATATATAGCTGGAGTGTTTTTCTGCAGCTGGTATGCCTAAGAGTTCTAGCATTTACAAATTGGTCTGGCTGAGCAGCGTCTGGACAAATCCTTCTGCAGCCTTGAAGCAAAGTGTGTGTGTGTGCACGCGCTTGTGTGTATATAGGTGTGTGTGGCACATTTCTCTCTCTGGCCTGACTCTCCATACACATTCCCTCCTGCTGGGATCCAGAGTTGCTGGAACTGACACTTTGTCTCTCAGCTTGGCACTGACTGGACCTTCCCCTCCCTTCTCTTTTTCCTCCCCTTCCCTCTCCACTCCCCTCCCTGTGCTGGTTCTGAGCTCATCAAAAGCAGGGATAACATCACTGACAGGTTGAGCTATTGTCACAGAACTCTTCTGGGAGAAAAGGCTCATTAATTATTTGCAGTCTTTGATCCTGTGCGCTGAGAAGCAGTATCCCTGGGGGGCCGCATGTGTGGAGGGTGAGCAGGGCTGCAGGGAGGGGCCAGGCTGGGACACAGTTTTCTAATAATCTGCACTGGGCTCCCTGGGATTCTCAGAAAGACAAGATGGCCTTGTGCGTGGTGTTCTTATTGTTGCTTAATTAATGATTCTTCAGGGAGCAGGCATTGAAAGAGGGAAGAAATTTACACTGAGAACTCATTGTTATCTTAAAGAGAGCTCTGAGCTTAGCTGACAAAAACACACACAAAAGATGCTGTCCCACCATCTGCCCCCAATGGGCCGGACTCTAAGCAGTAGCACGCATGGGGCTCTGCAGTCACACAGGTCACTGTGGCTGTCGTTGCCTGTTTGTAACTCTATGTCCACACATCCTTCTCAGTGTCTCTCTCCGTTGGTGCCTCTTTCTCTGGGTATATCCTTTGCTCTCTCTCCATTTCTTTTGTCTCCTTCTCTGTATCTCTGTCTCCCTCTGCCCTTTCTCCCTCCCTCTCTGTCTCTATTTGCATCTTCTCTCCCATGTATGTCCATCTTTCTCTCTGTCTCTTGGCTATTTGTTCTCCTCTGTCTCTGGTTCTCTCTTCCTCTCTCCTTTTCTCTTTTTCCCTCCTCCCAGTCCTTCCCTCTTCTTTCTGCTGCTGCCTCCTCTCCTTCTGTACTTCTCTCTCTCCTCTGTCCTCCTCCTTTCTCTTTCTGTCTCTGTCTCCGCCCCACTCCCTATATCTACTTATTTCTCTATCTCTATCTCTATCTCTATCTCTATCTCTATCTCTATCTCTATCTCATTCCAAGATGTTCTGTAACTCAGCTTCAATAACCCTTTTTATCTCAAATGACTAACCAGACAAGCAGGGCTATTTAGCACAGTTGGACATTCTCCACCTGCCCAGGCTCCTAACAGCCTGATTCTGGTCTAAAATGAGAAGCCTCTTCTCCATCCCCAGCCCCCAGAAAACTTAGGAAATTACTTCTAACTAACCCCTGGTCCAGGCCCACGTCCTGCCTTTTGTGATGAAAAGCACATCTCAGGCACAACAATTCCACTGGCTGGCCCTGTTATGCACTCTTT